GAGGTATAGAAATTATGTTAGCATGTTCCCCATTTCAGGGCCTCACAGTTTCAGCAGCCTTTTACCCAAGGTCATATAACTAGCTAGAGGATGAGATAGACAGGATGCTCATATGGCTCAGGAATTTCTGCTAACCCTATCTAAGAGTAGGGGAGGGAGAAGGCTAGGGGAGGGGGTCTGGCATTCTGAGGGGTCTCCACTTAGTGTTGGTACACACATGCCACTCAAAAGCAACAATACCAGAACCATTAGCAAGGACGAATGACCCTTTGGGGAGACTTCACTTCTGAGAGATCATCTCTCACAGCCCTCTTCAGCAGTCTTAAGCAATCTTGCACTCAGCCCTAATTACTTACCCATAAGAATGCTCTAGCTTTCTACTCTGCTCACAGAGGGTTTTGCCAGCAGATCTTATTCTGTTGGTGATCCCTCTGCTCTTGAGAGTGAAAATTCAGAGAACTGCAGCATAAAGAAAACACATTTAAAACAGACGTATGTATGAGACAAGTGAAAGTTTCTCATGTAAGATGTAAGCTCTGCTCCATAAATGTAGTGAGGCTTCAGCATGAGCTGGGCCTAAGTTTCACTTTCGTTTCTGCACCAGCTGCCCACCCCCTCCCTTGTTTTGTAACCACCCCCTCTGTTGTTTTGTGCCTTAACTTTACCAAATAAGGCAATCCTCTAGCTCCCAAGCATTTCCAGTAAAATGTATCTCTTGGGTTCTGAATATAGGCTGTGAGGTCTCTTGCCTCAGCCAATGAGGATAAAGAGATTGAGACAGACAGGTGGGGAGGGGGCTTTTTGGAGTGGTTTGTCTAAGACTATATATACTGCTTGCTGCTGTTTGTGCCTGGCCTCTCTACACCAGTCTACCCTGGGTACGAGATGCCCAACTCTCATGTGAGACTTGTCCTTATGGAGTCACTAATGTTTAGATTCCTTAAGAGTCTACAAAACTTTTGTCTCTGGCAGAAAGAAGATTTGAGTTGAATTCATTTGGGCATAAATAAACCTTGATTTCTGTACTGAACTTGTACTCTCCTGGCCGGTGATGGCGACCAGGGGTGGTGCCCTTTCTCTTGAGAAAGCAATAAACTCCTTTCTACTTTCAAGGTATCTGTCTTTGTTTTTATTTTTGAGTAAGTAGTCTCTGTCCCACACACCAATATGGCAGATCTTTAATAAACCTTGTCTTTGGCTGAAAGGCTTAGGACAGGAACCGTGTGTTGTGATTTTGGGGTCCCAGCACTCCTAAATTCCTAAACCTCAAAAACATCACTTTCAAACCAGCTTCTTTCTAATCAGTGAAATGACCTTCCTCTCTTAGCTATAACAAATCTATCGATAGCATTCATTTATGTTCTTAATTTCTTTAAAACAAATTCCAAAGAATATTAACTCAAAACTCACTAGAATATTTTAGCATTTATAAAAATTTTCAAACCACATTTTAGAGTTTCACAGTAGAGAACTTAGATTTTAGTCACAAACTCAGTTTCTTATTAGTTTATGATATCAAAAATTTCTGTAAATTGAATGAAAGATCCCTTATCTGTGTTTCTTTTCTGCCTTCTGACTTGGCCAGAGTTAAAAGACAGAGTTTTTTTTTTCATCTTAAGAAAATGTTTTCTCTTTACTCTTGCTCTTCAGGGGAAAAAAATTGTTTGACTTTTAAATATAGATAATATGACAAAAGAGACACAGAAGCACTTACTCGCAAAGTCTTCCTCCTTATCCCTCACTAGAGATTTATGAAGGTTAAGTCCCTGCTGGCCAGCTGAGTTGTTTTAAAACTTCATCCTTCTAGGCTCTCTGCCAAAGCACATATTTGAAAGCCACACAGAAGCACATTAACAACAAATACAGGGCTGACAAGTAGTGGGTTTCTATTCTCAGTTTGGTTTACTAGATATCTAGTAGCAAATACTATGCTAGAGACACACAGATACAATGACATGAGCTCTTAAGAAATTATGACCCTTTTCTCCCATCCCGCGGTGTAAGCTGGGGGCTCTCCTTAAAGAAAAAGAACCATCCCCTGGAATAATTCAGTATCTGTCCTTGGAGAATGAAAATTGTCCAAGGCTTTAAGCCTTCTTCTAAAGATTCTCTTTGGAGAACCCAAAAAGCTCTCCAAAGCTTTAAAAGAAGGCTGTAATTCTTCAAGGCTTTAAAAAAAAAACAGGTCTTAGACTTTCCCCTGGTTAGACCCAGGGGTTCTCCATGGGGAACCAAAAAAATTCTCCAAGGAAGTACCTGAAGGGATTTTTCAGGTCTATGTATTTCCAACTATTCCCAAATTACCACACTGAACACAAATAGCACTGCAAGATAGACAAAAACCTGCAACGTTTCCCAAAAGGGTGCTTACCTTAAGCTCAGAGTCAGAACTATGGCATTTGAGATCGAGGGGAGAGCCAGATCTCTGCCTACAGTCCTCCAGGAGAAGCTCCCCCTTCCAAGTGATGAAATCTCACTAGGGTGTGCTCAAGAAGAGAGGTCCCCTAGAGGACTTCAGGAGGACCAATCAGCCTCTCTCCCCCAATCCCATGACTGCCACCAAATTGTCCCAAGTGAAATTCAGCAAGGTAGACTGAGATATGTATTCTCCAAGCAGGATTACAGTTTATTAGTAGGACACAGATGTGGTAATAATCCAGGCCAATGATTGCCTCAGTTTTACAGCTACCCTTTTTATAATTTTAGGGGATTACAGAACCAAGAACAGGACTTTGTGGGTGGGGAAAGAATTCAATTGGCAGCATCATGGGGGTGAGTACAACGATTGGTTGGAAACTGGGAATGAGGAGCCAGCAACAACCCCCTCCTGTAACTAAGAAAGTTCATTCAGTTTGAGTCCATTTGCAAGGTTAGAGATAGCAGACCAGACTTCTTTGGATAGCAAACCACACATCCTTGAAGGATAACTTGGTGATATAAAGATACTAGACAGATTTCCTTGAGGCAAGAATAGAACAGTGATTAGCAGGAGAACTGGATTTCTAAATATAACTCATTACAGACCAGCTAAATTTCTGAATTAAGTTCAGAGACAAAGAACCATCACTTAGGCAGTTACAGAACAAAAACCAACAAATTGTAAATAGGATCAATAAAAATGATATAGGATCAGTTTAATCTTCTCACACCGTTTTCTTTAAACATGCTACCAAATTCTCTCCTGGGCTAGATCTAGCATTCATATCGGTCTGTATACTTCTGTCAACCATTACAGAGCTTATTCTAAGAAGGACAAACACGTGCATATTTATTTCTCTCAAAGCTGGCAGATCATGCACATAGAGATACACCTGAGAGTTCATTGTGGAAATGAACCCAAGGAAAGATCAACAAAGGGGACCTTATATCCTCAGTGATTCCCTCTTACCCCTCCTGACTCGAGATAAGTCTGTCTTAGCCAAAATTGTAATCTCCATATCTGATAACCATAACATGAGAAAGGAATTTCTTAAAAAGATAGATTGCAAATACAGTAAGTGTCAAAGTGTCAATTGGAATTATAGTTCCAGGATGTCTATGTCTCTTCCATCATTAACATGACATAATATAACTAACATACCATGTCCATAAGACACCAAAATAAGAGAAATGCCATTATTCAAGATAGTGTCTGGTTCAAGGTGCCTTGTCCTTGGCAGTCATAAACAGAATTCTCTTAGTCAGCTTCATCTGGCCTTACAGTTGCTGACACAGGAAGGAGAATTTTGGGTTCACTCAGAGAGAAAAGCAAAGCATGTCTGTTATGCCAGAGCATGCAAAGCATTATGGTAGGTTAAACTCAGAGTGGGCTAAAAATGTCTTTCTCCTGATTGTCCAGTTCAGGTTTTAGGCCTTTCTCAGGTCTTGGGGTGCTCAAAATGATCTCAAAAGATCGTTACTATATAACTTGCTTTCCAATTTTTCTTTTAAAAACTGGTCTGCCACATTTAAAGTTTTAATAGCCAGCCAAACCCAAAAGGTCTCTTAATTGCTAAGGAAACTCTAAAATTTTCCTCTCTGCCCCATTGTTCAGTTACCTGATAGACTCTGGAGACTTTTTCTTAGAGTTTTTAGACTTGTTTTCTGTTAAGGACCTGTATTTGTACTCTAAAACCCATTTTGTAACATCATTTATACCCACATAAGCCACGCCAAGAACTTATAGAACCTTAGATGAAATATTCAGAAACTTAATTAATTCTATTTTATCCTAATTTGTTCCTTGTGCTCAGAGTGCATCATAAAAAAACATTTAAAAAGCAGCTATGTAAAAACTTTATTATATTCTATAGTGAGATGCAAAAGAATTCATGCACAAGGTATTCCTTAAAAACAAAGAAATAAACCTCTAAAAGGATGTCTGACCTCCAGATAATTTATTATCATTTTCCCTTTATTTTTAATATGTTTTTTGTTGAAGTATTTGTGGCCAGCTTCACAGAAATATATTAAAATGAAGGTTTTGCAAGGGCACTATGTATTCACTTGTCCTTAAGTCAAAATTTCAAGTGCAAAGTGTACAAGAACATACAGGAGAAATTGTGATGAAGACAGAATAAAGAAATATTTAACTTGTAACAAAGACAGGTAGAAGGAGAATAAAAAGTGTGATGAATTATACAAAGTTCTCGAACCCTAATTGTGAAATTGAAAGTTATAGGGAATAGTGATTTTCAGAAAAGGATATAATTTCTAAAATGAGTATCTATTACAAATGAATATCCTTCCTGCTTTGTATAATATTAAAACAAATTCAAAGAAAGCCTGGATGAAGTCATACTGCTAAATATAGCCTTTCCAGTCGAATGTGACAAATTTAATTCAACAAATATTTATTAAGCACCTACTATAAGCACGGCACTGTTCTAGAAAGGGCTTTTTTTAAAAAAGACATTTTGAATAATGACTTCCAACATATATGTGATTCATTTTAAAAATAGGTCTTTTCCATACTTTCCATATCTATTTTAGCGGCAATAACACAAGAGATTTTAAACCGCTTTCCTTTTTTATTATTCACTTTTCCAATATGTATTCCAATTGTGATGTTTCCTTTTCATTTGACAATTCCCCTTGCTACTTTCAGGGCCCTACCCTTTTTTAAGGCACGTGCTTAAATTTTAACCTGGTACTGTACTTCCTTCTTGGGGACTCTTCCTCATTCATCTGCTTCAGGAGCTTCTGGTTCCACAGGAGCAGACTCTGGTTCTTTTTGCGGAACCTCCATTTCAGTAGAATCCTCTTGTTCCACAGGAGGAGAAGAAGGGACTTCTTCCATAAGAGTACCCTTCATTTCAGCAAGGGGGAGCTCTAGTTCATCCAGAGGTGATTCTTCCACGGGAGCATTCTCTGTTTCAGCAGGAGGCTCAAGTTCAGGTTCATTTAGAGGAGCTTCTTCCTCAGGAGGATTCTCTATGGGAACAGAAAAAGATTCCGGTTCTTCGAGAGGAGCGTCCTCCTCAGGGGCAGCGTTGGCTTCAACAGAAGGAGACTCCAGTTCTTCAAGAGGAGCTTCTTCCTCAGGAGAAGGCTCTACTTCACCAAGAGGAGGCTGTAATTCCTCAAAAGGAGCTTCTTCCACAGGGGCAGCCTCTACTTCCTCAAGAGGAGGCTCTACTTCCTCAAGAGGAGCATCTTCCACAGGGGCAGCCTCTACTTCATCAGGAGGAGCTTCTTCCACAGGGGCAGCCTCTACTTCATCAGAAGGAGGCTCCAATTCCTCAAAAGGAATTTCTTCCACAGAGGAAGGCTCTACTTCAACAGGAGCAGCTTCTACCTCAAGTGCAGCTTCTTCCATAAAAGACTTCACTTCATCAGGAGGCTCTTGCTCCTCAAGAGGAGCTTCTTCCATGGGAGAAAGTTCTTCATCAACAGGAATTTCTACCTCATCAGGAGGAGCTTCTTCCATGGGAAAAGTTTCTTTATCAACAGGAGGAGGCTCTAGTTCCTCAAGTGGGCCTTCTTCCATGGGAGAAAGTTCTACATCAGTAGTAGGAGGCTCTGGTTCCTCATGGGGCATCTCTTCCATGGGAGAAGTCTCTTCTTCAACAGGAGACTCTAGTTCCTCAACGGGAGACTCTTCCATAGGAGAAGTCTCTACTTCAACAGGAGACTCTATGTCCTCAAGAAGACCTTCTTCCTCAGGAGGAAATTCTTTTTCAGCAGCAGGAGAAGACTCTAGGTCAATAGGGCCCTCTCTGTCAGAAGATTCAAGTTCAGCAAGAGGAGGCTGTCCTTCATGAACTACCTCTTCTGTAGAAACATCCCCCCTTTTTATAATGGGTGGTACTTCAGGGGCAGCATCTACTGAAACCCTTTTGGGGCTTTTCAGACCTATCTCAGAGCCAGATTCTTCAGGGGGTTCAATAACTGAGGCTTCGCTATCCTGGGGAGAGAAAGTTTTACTAGCAGTAGCACTTCCCTGGGCAGAGAATGTTTTGCTAGCCCTAGAACTTGCCTGGGGAGAAAGAGTTCTGCTAGCAGCTTCAGTACTCCCCTGGGCAGAGATGAATTTGACACTTCCTGGGGGAGAGAAAGTTTTACTAGCAGTAGCACTTCCCTGGGCAGAGAATCTTTTGCTAGCCCTAGCACTTACCTGGGGAGAAAAAGTTCTGCTAGCAGCATCAGTACTTGCCTGGGCAGAGATGATTTTGGCACTTCCTGGGGGAGAGAAAGTTTTGCTAGCAGTAGCACTTCCTGGAGGAAAGGAAATTTTACTGACAGTTTTGCTAACAGCAGAACTTCCTCGGGATGTCCTTGGTGTTATTTTAGGTCCCTCAGTATCTTCCATTGGCTGGGATGATGAATCTTTTTTGCTACTAGCACTAGGAAGTCCTATTAGCTCATTATCACTCATTCCTGTCTGCTTGTCCACCATTTCACTGCATATGCCATGGTAGGCCGCAAGACCCCAATCTCCAGTGCAACTTGTCTGCTGAGATCTGTTTATCAAGGAATAGCTTGGGCGTCTGTTTAAGGGAGTTTCATGCTCTTTAGATGGATGGGCAATTTGTTCAATATCAGATTCAAGGGCAGGCGGAGGTGCCCCTCCAATATCAACTAAGGCTTTTCCGAGTGGTTCACCAGACTTCATTTCTCCTCCACCACTTGAGTCCTTAGATTCCTCAAGTTTAGATTGTGGTGGTAGAATTTCTTCCTTCCTTCTTGAGACTTTTTTCCCCCCCTACTTTAATTTCCTCTGTCTGCTGGGATTTATCTGTCAGTTCTTGTCCATCTTTTCTCCTCTGCCAAGTTTGTTGAAGCTGAGAAGATAATCTCATTTTATCATATTCTTTAGTAGAATGCTTTGCTTTGTTTTCATGTATATTACTATGGCTAAGGACAGCTTTTGGTGCAGCCGATTGTGAGCCTGTCAGGTGTTTCTTTTTCTCAGTGATATCTGTTTGCTGGGATTTGTCTACCATTGCTTGAGAAGGTTTCCTTCTTTTTCTCATTTCTTGCCTCCCTGCTGAAACTGGTTGATCATGTTCATTACTGTCTTCCATTGCCACAGTTGGTGATTTCAGTTTCGTATTATTCCTTAGGCTACTTATTGTCAAATTTCTCCAAAGTGTCAAGGAGTTAAGCCTTTGATTTCCTTTGTGATGGCTTGATCACAAGTGATTGCACTCTGTCTTTCATTCTTGCTGGATCCCACTTTATTCAATAAGCCTCTTTCTGGTTTAATCTCTGTTATGAACAGAGTCTCGCTTCTAGAAGTTTCCCTCATGGGTCTATGACATCACTGTTATGTCTGCCTACAGGGTTCCATAGTATTCTTAGGTTCTCATTACCTTAGTATACATTCAGCTGCTAGCTGCTAACATACTAACTCTGAAAGGAATTAAGCAGTAAAATACAGCATTCTCCTCCAAGAGGAATCTTCAGTTCTGACACTTTTAGTTTGCTGGAGAAGAAAATTCTGAGGGTTCAATCCAGTATCTTTTCATGTTCACACTACTGAAGGCAGTTGTGTTGAGTAGATTCAATGGAAGTCTACAACCTGTTTTCTGGAAGAAAAAAACTCTCTGAAAACATATATTTGAGAATATTTTTTATCAATGTATGTTTGAGGAAGAGAAAAACAAGTTGAATAACTCAAGAGTTCTAGAGTCCATGGCCTGAAAGTGAGTGAGGGCTTTTTAAAAAAATTTTAGATTATGTATATTTAACTCTCAGGGTACACAGTACTTGACTATCTAAATGTGCTGTGTTTGGTTCCTAGGTCAAATAATGATACTCATTTATACTTAGGTGCCATTTCATAAAATAGCTCCAAATGAGGAGTATAGGAATTATTTGAGATGATGACAGGTGAAACTGAATCATTTACTGAAATGGTCACTGAATTTTCTTCTCAATAGGAGGCAACTGCCTCTAAGGAAGAAAAAAAACACCTTTGCATGGGTCTTAAAAAATAATTTCAAAAACAGTGTTTCCTAGAGCAGGCTTAATTTAGGCTAGTCCTAAATTTAGGTTCAATATGGGAATGAGATTAAGACATTCATAGGTCATTCAAAAGTTAACAAAAAGAGATTTACTTAGCCAAAGGAGGGGAAGGTTATTCAACAGGGATTCAAAATGAGTTGATTCAACTAATTTGAAGTTCCCCTGCCTCTGAGTTGCTAACACATCCATAGCACACAAGCCAAGCCTCTGCAACTTTGCTTTGTTTTTGTTTTCTGGCTAGGCAACTGGGTTGAGTGACTTGCCCAGGGTCACACAGCTCGTAAGTGTCAAGTGTCTAAGACCAGATTTGAACTCAGGTACTCCTGACTCCAGGGCTGGTGCTCTAACCACTTCCACCTAGCTGCCCCCTAGCCAAGCCTCTGGGCAGGTTGTTTCACACTTAGGCAACCAGGAAGTGATGTCAATATCCTAAGTCTTTAGCTCCCTCAACAAATCAAATAACAAGGACAGTTTGAATACCTTTTAAAGGAAAACTAGCATAACTTGTATGGAGGGGTTAGGATATTGCTCCCACCATGCCCTACCTTTTGAAGGACCTTCTGTGTCTTCAATGATGCATCAGGGTTGAATCCTGATATACACAGCGCAGAAAGAGGAAAAGAAAAACTAAAACAGAAAGGTAGTAAAAAACCAACGTAACAGCTCCCTGAAGGCATGACAGTTATGGGAGAATGAAAGCAAAAAATCCTGGGTTTACCTCCCCCTAACCCCCACACACTTTGGAAGGACCAATTTTCAGAGCTAAAGATCTGGTCGAAGTGGTGAGTGGTGTCAAATCTTTCTGGTTCACAGTAGTTCTTTTAAGGTACAGAGGTATAGTAGCAGCAGCGCCGGGAACGTCAAAGCTACAGTGAAGATGATGACATTTTCTTGCATAGTCACTAATCCTCATCACAGGCAACAGAAAATTGTCCTGTACAACCACTCACCTAGTATTCCTTTGCCTACCTGCCAAGGACCTTTCTGTCTCTGGAGAGCCATGGTCTGGGGGGAGAGAATTCAAAATCTTTGCCCCATCAGAAGACTGAAGGACTGCTCCTCTTCCTCTATGGGGCTGGGTAGACATTTTTCACCTCCTTCCTTCTTGCCAAAAAACAAGCTGCCTCCCAACAGTGCCACCCCTCGGTCCTATAAGACCTCCCTGGGGAGGAATTGTACAATGACTCCTGGATATTTTACAGGCAACAATATTGGGGTACTTTTTTATGACAAGCAAAGAGCTATAGTGGGTCTTACCTTTTCTACTGTCTCTGCTGGACCCTGTGAATCTACCCACTCTGCTGATGGAGCTAGTTCCAGCGCCAGTGCCATTCCCAATGGGGCCTTCACCACTTCCCACTACCACTGACTCAGGGTCAGCTGCTACCCATTTTGTACCAGGGGCACAGTGCAGATACAGGTGCTGCCACTGACTCCTATAAGGTATCAGAACAAATGCCCCTCCTGTGATGTCCCCCTTTAATAGGGCAGAGTGTTGCTTTAGGGCTGTGCTGCTATTGCTAGGGTCTGACTCTATCTCCCTATACTGGAATAACAATTGTCCTATTCCTGGACCTGATTCTTTACTTTCCCTTCCTTCCCATGCAGGGCTGAGTACTGCTACATGTCTGTGCTTCCACTTCTGGGGCTTGACTTTACACCCCTATACTCGGGTGAACAATATCCTCCCCCTCCATGCCAAGAGCTGTGGGTTTGCACAGTCACTGCTCCTTCATGGTGGTATTGTGGTTTCGTGATGTGCTATGGAAGCACTGTCTCAAAGAATTCAGTCAGACCACCTCTCATCCAAGTATAATAGGCATTTATTGAGGATTGATGGTCCCCAGAAGTGGGCTAGTTTCCAAGAGGAACCAGTAACTTCAGAGAAAGCAATGTGAGAGGTCAGAAACGATTATATTTCTATATAAGGAAACTGAGAGAAAAGGTAGCTCTAGGTTAGAGGTTGTAGAATCGGCTAAAAGTGGATGAAACTGGTTGTTTGGCTAAAGAGGCTGGAAGTAGGACAAAGGTTAAGCTTTACTTAGAGTGTGCATGCATAATGCGTTCATTGATACTAAACCTCTCTGCCTAGAGGGAAGCAGTAGCACAAAACTAGGCACATTTCATATGTTAACGGGAGGGAGGACATGTTGTGAAGTGGGAGTATCAGGAAGATTGTAACCCTGAAGAGCAAGGACCAAGGAATGAACTGCATAAAAGGCTTGCTCTGGCTTCTGTTGGTGTGTGTGTTCTCTTGGGGTACCACACACACACACACACACACACACACACACACACACACACACACGCACACGCACACACGCGCGCGCGCGCGCGCGCTCCTTGCAAGAACCCTAATTAACCACTTCCTTCGCTCACTTTGGTTCAGTTTTGTTTCCTGAAGGGGAACAGAACTCTGATGGTTTGCAATTAGGGAAACAGTGGGCTGCAACAGCTTGCCCGTAACTCCCTGACCTAACCAAGGAGTGTCAGAACCCCGTTTCTAACAGCAAGATGGATTTTTATAGGGTAAAGGTCTAATCACATAACAGAAATTATGAATATTAAAAAAGCAGGAGGGATTTGTCAAAGGATTAGGTAACAGGGGAGGGGTCCCTTCTATGGTTCAGTGGTCAAACATTGTGGTTGTGCTGCCCTCCGACTGGCTATCTGTTATGGTCTCGCCTGGTCAAGATAGATAGTTAGGAATTGTGGTCCTGCCTTGGGCTAAATGGATGATGTGGTTGTGGTTGAGTATAAGAACACATCTGTTCAAATATGTGAATTGGATCTGAGGGCAGTGGCTAGCTAGGGGCAGTGGCTGTATTGAATCTGGGAGCCCGTGGTGTGCTTAAAGCCGGATTGTGTGGTTAAATCAGGACATGCCTGCTGTTCAGTGGGGGCCCGTAAGGAAGTTAAAATATTGGGGCTGGGGTCAGCTTTATTAGGATTCCATAGTATCACTGGTATAGGGTACTCCTTGGGAGAGTGGAAAACTCCCTCCACTAATGCAAGTTCCAAGTCTTTTTTTTTTTTGCAACCCATAGTGTTAGAGAGTGGCTTAGAACACTGAGAAGTTAAGTGATCTGTCCAGGAACACATAACCAGTATTTGTCAGAGATGGGATTTGAACCCATATGTTCTTGACTCGTAGGCCAGCCTAAGACATGCTGCCTCTCTGATTCAAAGAATGTTAAAATCAGAACTTTGAAGCAAAAAGTGACCACATGATTCTAAAAATTAATTACATTTCATTTTTGAAAGTTTCCCATTAGAAAGTAGTTTCAAGTATCTAGACCTATAAGGCCAAACATTTTGGATAATGATCTCTACTATATCTTGAAGGAGATTTGTTCCTGACTCTTCAGGTTTCTGTTTATACACTTAGCAAGATATTAATTTTTCTATGCTTTAATTTTCCCAGAAGGAAATGGCAGATACTGCCACAGACTTCGCTCCTGGGAACATTACAAAGGTTTTCTAATGAAATATTTGATATTTGGCGAGCTGAAAACTCAACGTAAGCATTAACAACTGCAATTCTGCTGTGGGGAGGAATGTTGTCTTATAATAATGATGATGATGATAATGATGATAGTTGTTGTTCAGTCACAGTGTTACTGTTTGCGGCTCTATCCGGGGTTTTCTTGCCAAAGATGTTGAAGTGGTTTGCCATTTCCTTCTCCAGCTCATTTTACAGATGAGGAAGCTGAGGCAAGAAAGGTTAAGTAATATGCCCAGGGTTACACAGCTAAAGCATCTAAATGAGTCTTTCTGACTCCAGGCCTGGTACTCTATCCACTGCACTACCTTGTTGCTTAATATAACTAGCATTTATGTCACACTTTAAAGGTTTTTTTTGTTTTGTTTTTTGGCTAGGCAATGGGGTTAAGTGACTTGCCCAGGGTCACACAGCTAGTAAATGTTATGTGTCTAAGGCCAGACTTGAACTCAGGTCCTCCTGAATCCAGGGTTGGTGCTCTATCCACTTCGCCACCTAGCTGCCCCAACACTTTAAGGTTTACAAAGTGCTTTACAGTTAACTCATTTGATTATATACACTTTTTATTTCCACCTCGTTGTACACACAATAGGTGTGTTTAATGTTGTGAATTACTGTGTAAAAAATGAGATCACTCCAGGTCTCTTTCTCATAGGTCCTCCAAGGGTGGAATGGAGGGCATTATGTGATACAAATCAAAGACATTTCCAGTAGAAATGTAAGTTTTCTGAGGGCA